GTTGGTAAGATGGGAATTTCTCCCCAAGGTAGAACATCAACAGCATGAACCCGATGTAACCAAACAGATATTTGCACATTTTGGGCCAAGGTACAACGGTGGGAGATGTATCCACACGGTTCCGGATGTACATGTCAAAATCCCAGTGCATCTAAAAATAGACAGAACAATCACTGATTAATGATCATGGGAAATCATACACTGTTAGAACGTCTCATATCGTCATCTAAGGAAACTGGTGATTGTACAGAGGCTTGTGAGGAGAAAGCAGTGTTTTTTGTGCAATCAAGCTGAATACTGTCTTAATATCCAAAAGTAATAGTGTCTATATAGAGGATGATGTTATTATCTAAAGTTAAGTTTCTTCCAGACAGTCTAAACACAATTATGCATGTACAATCTTCAGAGATTATACAATATTATGTAGGGGTTGTGTCCTTTTTATAGCAATACATAGAACTATAAACATTATTGATATGGATCCGAATATGAATTTTACAGCTGGTACCAAGACATGCACTGAGTGGGACACCGTTTTAAAATTACAGCAAACATAATCAGTTCTGGGGCCCATTTTACAGAAACAATCTGTTAGCACTGGCTGTAAATTTGGGCTGCAGGATATGATAAAAACATCATATTGCGATTGACAATAATGGGAATGATATTTTTTTGACCAAACACAATTAAAATCACGATAATGTGAAAAAACAAACATGTTTTCTTAAATCTGGAGAACCACGGCACCTCTGCAGCACAACGGTACCTAATTTTAATGCTGTTTTGTCACACGTTTGACCTTCATCGAAACATTACAGCCCTTAAGATTTGCATACTTCACTTCCTCCATATTGTGATTTCGATAATATTTCAACTAATTGTGCAGCAGTATTGCAAACGGTGGAAGTGTCATGCTTCACTAATGCCTATTGGGTCAGAAATCTCAGATTTATTTGCAATTCCTAGAGGATTGCAGCATGTTTATGCAGGGCTCCCAAGCATGGTGCATGTTTTGTGAGTGAAATGTGTCAGAACAAGCAATGAGAAAACAATTTCATGTTCATTCATATCGGCAGAAATCAACCTGGTCAAGATATGGACTGCACATATACACCTGATATCACATATATAACTCACTGCAATAGCATGAAGTCATCAGTATCTTACCGGCTCTCCCCAGTTTCTCCTCAGGTCAGGGTGGTCCCACTTGTACCAGGGGTCTCTCTCATGCTGGGATCTATCTGGTAGCTTTGGATAATCACCATAGCTACAAAAACACAAGGAAAACATACAGTTAAGATAAGATAAGATAAGATATGCCTTTATTAGTCCCACAGAGGGGAAATTACAAGTTAGTCATCTATGTAGTTAATTCGCTACTGTTGTGGTTCGCACAGTGTTGACCCATCTGGCAAACAACAATGCACTCTTCGTAACACTGCAGAGAAAACCAAAACAGGTGAAACTGCTATGAATGGCAGGCTTTTTCAAAATAAAGCTCACCCCTCGCCGTTGTCGGGAAATGGTTCATAGTCCTCAACCCTCATGTTGTACTTCTTTGCAGCAGCAGCTCTCTCCTCGGGGGTCTTCGGGTAAGGACCCGGTATAACATCCTTTGACCCACCAGAGGCTGAAACGCAAACAGTTACACATGTGAATGAACGAAGTTATAACGTAATCACGTCCGCCTTCACCTCTCATTCACAATAATCGCCGCTCAGTGCAGCGCGTCAGCTAACGATAGCATGTCAAGGTTACGTCTATTCGATGCTTTTAACTCTAAACTCGGACTCGTATGTTCAGAGAAATTAATCAGAGAGTACAACCAAAAGCTAGAACACCACTGACCTGCTCTACATCCCGACAAAAGGGCTGAAATCCCAGAACCTTTCCCTTTAGAAAGGACTTTGGCCCACCGTCGGAAGCCAACACCAGCCATGTTTACTGGCTGCTGCTGTCTGACAGACTGAGAAGTACGCATGCGCAAGGTTGGAAGTATGGGTCCGCATGAGGACCAATTCATACTAATAGGCTGTATAAGACTGCTGAGTGACCCCATTACACATATTAATGGTATAATTATATCAGGAGTGACCACAAAAAATCAACCACAACTACTAAAATATTTATTTCATAGTGTTTTTATTAATGTTTTTATTAATTTTTTGAGTAGCAGACACTGTCAAAATAGAGAAAAGTGTGACGGGAGACATGAAAACTCATCCAGTGGCTGAAGGGAACCAATATCTCAGAGTGAATGCACTAAAGCCCTGAGGCCTGTTCCTCTTCCCATCAGATCCAGCTCAGGTGCACAGGTGCATTTACTGGGGGATCGTCACTCTGCCACCGGTGACAAATTGAAGAAAATCCATCAGAGAAGTTCTGCTATGTCCTTCTCCACTTTCCCAATGGGGCAGTGAAGTTCATACCTGCAGTAAAGGGAAAACATTAGTGCCACTATAATGATTAAACCCATGCCTGACCAAATTAAGGGCTAAGTGGGTTTTTAACTTGAGGTTTGTGGTCTATAACTTTACCTTTTGAAGGGCATGCCATCTGCAGTGATTAGGAACTTTTCAAAATTCCAGCGAATGTCATTGACTTTGATTGGGGACCAGTAGAATTTCTTTATATCTCCAATAACAGGGTTCACAAATGGCAAAGATTCCTGTGACGAGCAAGAAATTACAGTGTGTCTGGGTTTTACAAGGCAAAACAGCTGCAGTACTGACAGCACAAATGTCATCCATTAATCTTATATCTCCAAATCATATGCAAAACACACTACCTTCAGATAGGTGAAAAGAGGATCTTCATTTAATCCATTCACCTCAACCTTGCCAAAGACAGGAAACTTTGGTACAAACCCCCCACCAGGTCTCGCATACTTAAGAACGTTGAGGGTTTCATGATTCACCTCTGGAAAGAAACAAACAAAAGGAGTTATTACTAATATGTTTTAAACACGACCATGACAAAACCATAATGTGTATATTCACAACTTTGTCTTCAAAATAAATTAACAAAAGTTTACCATACAGCATGAGCGTGTACATTAGACAATGTATGTGGTGAAAGAAGTATTCAGATCCTTTAAGTTAAAGTAACTACACATTTATATAAAAAAACCTCTCCATTACAAATAGGAGTACACGTCCTGCATTCAAAATTCTACTAAAAAAAAGTATTTGCTGAAAAATGAAACATTACTAAAAGATTAAAGTAAAAGTACCCAGGCCCCTGTAACAGATTTATATATTACATTAAAAGATGAGTGATGTATCAACACAATACATCTAAGAAGTTCAGAGAGGAAATCACTCTTTCACATCTGAAACTAGAAAAAAAAATATGCAAAATAAATGTAGAAAAGAAAAGAGTACAATATTACCCTGTGAAGTGTAGTGAAGTAGGAGTATAAAGAAGCATAAATTAAAAAATCTCAAGTAGAAGTTGCTATTAAGTACAGTACGTCAGTAAATGTACAGAGTTGCTCTCACTGATATAGAGTACAGTATTTCTATTGATACAGTATATTACCAGGTTAATAATTTATTATGTCTGTCCTATTTCAAGAGCTTCAGTGTACCTACCAGGTGACTGAAGACCAAACTGGTTGCAGGAGAATCCAAGAACAGTAAAATTGAGGTCGCCGAACATTTCCATCAGTGCATTCAGTCGATGGTACTGACGGAAAAGGACACAGAGTCAAATCCCTTTAATAAAAATGGCTTGACTGACACAGATTATGTGTTATGAGATAATGTGCTCCGACCGCAATCGTTCAGAGCTCTCGCAGAGTCTTACCTCCTCTATTGTTGACCCTCAGAAGGTGGCAACGTTGATGATGAGAAGCACCTTACCCCTGAAGTTACTGAGCGGAACCTGCTGTCCATCCAAGGTCTCAGCACAGAAATCATAGATAGATTTATTAGCCATGCTTGTTCTGTAGCTTGTATATGGGATTGTAGTCAGTCAAGAGTGAGTATTCACCCAGCTATCCTGTTGGCTCATCTCATTCACTGAAATATAACTCATGGCTCAGCAATTGTTCAGCATGACCGACTTCATTGTTCTATTGGGCAGAGGTGAGCTGGCAGAATGGTCATTTGTTCAACATGTATTCCACGAAAAACACAAAAAACAAAAGCTGCTCATATGGTGACAGCTAATAGGCATTAGGAAGTTAAATATTCAAAATAAACAGATATGGATCTGCAGTGGAACACACTTATTTTGTATGCACAGTTTCCTCTTTTTAAAAGTTACTACTATACTACTATTTTTTGTTTGTGACAATAGCTGTTTAATTATGAGATAATTTGTTCCATAGTCTGAAATCACAGTCTAAAAGTTACTGCACAGAGTAATATACACAGTAGGTTACATCAGGCTACTTTGTGACTAGTTATTTGATTCATAAGCGGCTAACATTGTTTTGATAATAAGGGAATTTTAAAATATCATCATTAAACCAACCAATGCTGGCAAATGCATGATAATAAGAGTAATAGAGTTATCTATGGAACTTTTAAAAGAGTTATTTTATATACAGCAAACATATATGTAAATTGGCTTAAACGTGACCTTTGACGTAAACCCGGAAAATTACAACTGCTGCGTTCAGTTGTTCCTCGTAAACGCGTCTATTATATTAGATCTAAATAGGACGTCTTCAACATTTAGGCTAAGCAGCATACTTTTGGTAGAAAACGATAACAGTTTCTCTCTCTTAAAGGTTGGTGGTAGTTGTTTTAGTTAGCATGTCCTGTGGCGCATTATTTGGCAACTTCATGGTTTATAAAGATAATAAAAAGGGGAAAATAGCCACAAGGCAGCAATAACAATTTTAATGTATGGGTGTTAGATTTTTTTTCCTTCAATTCTTGGCTCTAGTTTTCCCTGAACGCCATATTTGTAAAATGTATAACAATATTTGGTAGTTTATGTGCCATTCTTCTCTCAATGAAATACCTTACTACAGTACCTGAAGGCAGCATTGGGTTTTGGGTTACACCTCAAACGCTCGCAAGATGCTAAAGGAAAATACGATATTTTGGCATCTTTGTGAAGAACAACACGTCCTTAAAAACTCTGTATAACATAGCGGACTCAGAATGGACGAAGAAGCTAAGATACGAACGTAAGTGCCCTTTGAAAACGAGAGTTTTGTATTTAAAAAGCAACCGGATCGGTGGCCCCGGCAGGCTAGCTTCTCAGCTAACAGCACTAGCTTGCGAGTAACAACAACCAAGTGAGAGAGGAGGACGGTCGTTGTTGCTCCCATTTATGTGTGCCAGCTAACTTCGGTTTCATTGCATGTTACAGTGAGAAGGCTAACGTGACAGGCTTTTACTGCTGATGCACTATTTCTGTCATTCTTAGTGCATTTAAACATTGTTTTTAAGGTTGTTTTCCTTTAAACCGCTAGGGCTGCGTGCAGTATCAAAGTTCAGCTGTTAAACAAGGTTTGCATTTCTTCAGCAGATGTCATCTTTTGGACTTGCCCTGGGAGGATGTACTTATTCCACATATTTTAGGCTATTTGCCACTGCAACACCTTGTCAGCCTGCAGAGGGTGAGCAAGCAGTTCCACAGCCTCATCCAGGTGTACCTAGCCAACTGCAGGACTTTTGATCTGACCTCGGTAAGTCCTGATCAGTTCCAGTTCTAATAACCCATACATATATTTATTGAACGATATGTTTGATAGGTAAGGTTTGGTATCTACTCTATATTTACAGATTGGACCATCCATTCCCAAGGAGGCGTTTTGCTCCATGTTAAAGGACAACAAAGTTCTCCATAGCCTGTCACTTCAGAACTGTTCGGACTGGGTGACAGACAAGGAGCTGCTGCCCGTTATCGGCCAGAACCAGCATCTGCAGAGAGTGGCCATGAGCGGGTGCGTTTGTCTCACCCGCCACTCTCTAGTGGCCGTGTCCTTGAGTTGCATGCACCTCCAGCACCTCGGCCTGGCGCACTGTGAATGGGTGGACAGCCTGTCCCTGCGCAGCCTGGCTGACCACTGCGGGGGGCTGCAGTCCATCGACCTAACCGCCTGCCGCCAGCTCAAGGACGACGCCATCTGCTACCTGGCCAAGAAGTGTTTGAAGTTGAGGTCTCTATCGCTGGCAGTCAACGCCAACATCACTGACGAGTCGGTGGAGGAAGTGGCCAAGAACTGCAGGGGCCTGGAGCAGCTGGACCTGACAGGTTGCCTGCGGGTCAGGAACCAGTCCATCAGGTATAGTCTATCTTATTTTCAAGTATAATCCAACTAACTTTGTGCCATCCCACCACCTCACTTGTGCACCCATCCATAAGATCCTCTGCGTGCTGTGCTCACAGGACTCTGGCAGAGTACTGCCCGAAGCTGCAGTCCCTGAAGGTGAATCACTGTCACAATGTGACAGAGTCAAGCCTGGATCCTCTACGGAAACGCAATGTAGTGATAGATGTTGAGCCGCCTTTGCAGAGGGCTCTGGTACTTCTTCAGGACGTGCTGGGGTTTGCACCCTTTATCAATCTCCAGATATAGCCAAAGGGCCATCTATCTGTCCAACAAGAGCGCACAGGTAGGTAATATGAGCAGTATATCTACTGTAAGAGCTTTTGATGTGTTTATATCCAAAACTGTCTGTCAAATATCCAAACCGGGCTAGAACTCAACCACAATGAATTTATTACCAGTCTATTTCCAGCCGATAATGATGGTGACAGTCAATCAATTGTAATCGATATTTGTTACAGGTGTCTTCATCATCAAAGCGCTCGCTTTAAGCTGCGTCACAAGGACACGTGCGTTGCTCTAAAAAAACGTCAAGACAATCCAAGAAGACCTGGATGTTTTGCACTCAAGTTTGTGTGTCAAAATAATGTTGATAAAACCACTCACTGAACTGTGATCAGTGATGCATATTTAAAGAGGAAACTGAAAATAAGTCTTCATTTGTGACTGAAGCCATGTACTTTGAAGAATTGCTGCCTCATGTCCAAAAGATGTCACTGCACTATTTGTTGATCATTCAGTGTTGTCATAATGTGTCTTTATAGAAAAGCAGTTCTAACCAAAGTACAGTGTATTTGTTTTGTTGTTTTTTTAAACAAAGTATTATACTTTGTGTATATTACATTTTAAGAACCTTTTATCTTACGTTTCATTTAGAAACATAAAAAAAAAAATGTTTGAGTTTAATTAAACATTTCATTTTGCATGTACGTGCCTGCTTAAAGGATCAATTCACCCAAATCGCACAAAAACATTTTCTCACTTTGCACTAGCTTTGTCGAGCAATTTCGTTTTATTTGTTCATGTTTTATTATCTCCACTACAGAGACTTCTTCTGCCACCACAATATAATAAAGGTTAATACAATTTTGTTAGTGGTGCTGACCATGTGTCTTCCAGAAACAATGTCCTGGCTCCTCAGGATAATCCACAGACCTCATTGTCAACAGTTTTAACCGCTTCCCAATGAAAACTGTTGACCAGCTTTGTTGCTTACAGTTATGTTAACCAAAACTGTCCGCATGGCTAGATGCCACCAGAAATGAGTGGGAAAATGTTTTTATATAGTTTTTTTGTGACGTCATGAAGTGACCCTTTAATCCATATTGTTCATAAATGCTTACTTGTATAGCCTAGTATTAGTTTGAAATAAGTATAGGAATTCATTATGATCTGTTTGCCACTAAATCCTTGAAATGAATCTTGTTAAAAGTACGTGTGTTGAAATGCGGTTGCCCGGTAATACAGCCTATGAATTATAGTATAATAGAATTAATTATTACATAGTAAAATACAGTACCATCAGAAATAGCTGTCTTTTCCACTGCATAAAGAGGCACAACTCTGCTGTGATGTAATCAACTGTTATGTATATAAATACCTTAGGGTATCTGAAAATATTGATCCCATACCAGTGCTCTCTTTTTTTCCTAAATTTGATGTGATAATAGATTTGTCCAAACAAGTGTGGAATATAAAGCTCAAAGACAGCAACAAATAGTCTTCAAGTATAGGTAACAAGGTTTTTTGGCAAATAAGGGGGCAATGCTCATTTTTACATCTGTTCTTGACGGATTTAATATATAAAAACATTCAAAATAATGACCAGGCCTACTTTTTCTTTGAGCTTCTTAAATAATGAAAATGAGCCCCTATCTATAACCTGCTGTGAATAGCAGGATTCCGCTAATTCCTCTAATTCCCTTGCCTGTCAAACATAAAGAGGGTATTGTCAAAGCGTTGCAGCGGTGTGGTTAAAGATGGGGTTAATCTATTCAGTGCGCTGTTGTTTTATGACTCAAACTGGCACAAGGTGGCAGCAATGAGTCAGTATATTTCACTGCTTTAATTCTGTTATTGGAGAGGCTGCATGACTTCTAAACTACAGGACCTTCAGGAGCCACAGTGGTAGTCTACAGTGTTAAATATGTCAGGGTAAAGTGTCAGTGTGTACATACAAAAGGCCAAGATACTTTAAGACTTAGAGAAGGAGTCTAATGTTTGAGTGGTTAGACAGATTGTGAAAATAAACATCATGATCTTGTTAACACGATGCAGTGAATGCACAATAAGAATTCATGCTTCCCCTTGTTGCTACAGCTACGCGTTAAAACCCCTTCTTACAGTTTCCTCTGGTGGTCCGATTGGCAGACTATATTGTAACTTGTCTCTGTGACAACACAACAGGTCTATTTTCCACTTGATGGCATGGTTTACCCCATCTGCTGCGTGCTGTCCACAAGCTGAATTTGCACCAACAGAGAGTTGTGTTTGGAGGGCTTCAGGGATCGACCAGCATCCTTCTGTTTGCTGTGCTGATCATCATATTGTACCGCTGTGCCTCCGAGGGGACATCACAGTGTCGTTAGTTATAAAGTGAATCTTGAAATTTCAATTTATAAAGCAACTCACGCCGCATGTCATGCTGTAGATACTCATATTTACACACATTTAGCAAGATGTTTCTTACTTTTATGCAAGAGTTAAACAGGGATGTCTGGTTAGAATCAAAACATTTATCCCTCAAAATAAGAAATAATTAAAAACAGATTATACTCTTATGTTCTTGTATCATAAAGCACGAAAGAGTTTCAGTTAAAACACACTTACTGAAATAAAAGATAACTTCTCTGTCTCTCATCTGTATAATAATTAGTATAAATAACATCTTCAGTGACCCAGCAGTGGCCCGTGCTTGTCGCTGCTCAGCAGTCAGTGGGTTAAAAACATTTCAGACTACATTCATCATGTAGGACCTCAATTAGCATTGATCTGCAGGGGGGGAAAGAAACATCGCTGCGTTATTATATACCATGGAGCAATTTCTGTTCCAGTGATTGAGTGTATGGGGGGATTTCTCAAACATAGCCGGCCTAACATATTTTGTCTTCCTGTCAATAATCTAGCACTTGTCTAAATTATTGATCAATAGCAACTGATCATTTTATACCTAGGCACAACAGTGAAGGTGGTCCATTTTATTCAGTATGCAGTTTTAGCCCCTGGCAGCGTGTAATATACTGTACTTATTAAAACTAAGAATAAATCTAAGTTTAATCTCTGCTGCTGCTTTCAAAGTCCTCTCTGACAGAGTAACTCACTGTTGTTGTTTAGAGGCTCGTGTCGTTGCAACTGGTTCACACAACAACTGCAATCCTTTTAAAAACAGGCCTTTTTCACAGCAGACATTTTGACTTGTTATAGAAAATGCACAGGTGTAACTAATTACATTAGTGATGGCTCTGTTCTATTCAAATGTCCCAGTAAGGGACTGTATCAAAGTTATGATATTATTTCATAAAAAGCAAGGCCCTCCCCAGCATTACTAATATTCTATATGGAACCATATTCATTCAATCACTAATAACTCTAATCTGTTTCTCCTCCTTATTTTGATGGGGAAAATACAATTTAAATCCCATGAGAAATGTATGAACAATTAAAATATAAATCTGGGACGAGAAAAAGTTAAAAAGACCCTCCCATTCCCTCTGACCTCCTCCCAATAAATGGTGTACAGTTCCTAAGTCATGACAGTGTGACAGTGAGCCAGCATGCACAATGCTGGGACCCTGAAACTGAAGCAGCTAAATTGAATTCAGCCATCATTCATTTTATTATTTACACTTTTTTTTGATGTGACATGTCAAAATATCCTCTGTCACATATTAATGCTGTCATATTCTCATCAGAGTCTAGACTATGAGCTGACTCAGTCAACTGTGTGGGTTTTAGGACCAAAGGAAGCTGAAAATACGAGTTCATTCCACCTTCATACTGGCAAAATCGGAATTAAAGTCATTCTTATAAATTAGTTTACTCCCTACTTTAACTACTTCTACTTTACTTTGAAATTTGGTTTCAGAAGAGACATTTCTTCTCTAAATCTGACAGGAATGACAAAAAAATGTACAACAGACAAAGTCTTACTAGTGTTTGGTATTGTAAGCTATAGTATACAATTCTGATCAATCCTGTTTTTGAGGTGAAAAAAAAACAAATGGTTTCATACATTTCTTCAAAACTCATCTGCAGGACACATTTACTTGATTTTTGATACATCATCTAAAATATCAGTGCAATTTGGAGCTCATTAAAGAACCCAAATGCATGTTTTCTGTTTAAAAAAGGTAAAATATGTTTATTGTGCTTATACATATATATTTAACTTTTTAAATCAACCTTACGGTAATAGAATGTTCCTAAAGTGTTTTTTTTCTACTTTTAAATAGCTGTTGACCTTATAACTACAGGTCAAATGCCATTTGTCTTCTGTCACAAAAGATCCCAGTCAAAAAAGAGACGTGAATGTAAATTTTACTTCAGGTAAATAAGACCAGTCTGGAAAACCAACAATACACAAATATACTTAGAACTGATTTTCACGTAACATTAACCAACTGAATAATAAAGCAAAGAATTATCGAATTATTTTTGTTATTCATATGAATGCAAGATTTTATTATTTTTTATCTTCAGCATGTGTGAAAAACACATTCTGCTCAAGAAAATAATCATGAATTGGTTTAGTACACTTTTCAGCTTCATGTTAATTAAATGAAGTTCATATAAGGTGGGGAGAGAATTACTGTAGCTGTTCAGATGGGCCCAAAACTGTTAGAGATTTTGTTCATTTTCATATTTTTAATTAACAGACTTCTTCTCCCGTCTTCCATCAGTGAATGAGTCTTTCTTTCATTTATTTGATGTAGTTTATCTCCTCCAACCATTCATATACAACCTTATTGGATCCTGCGACTTAGGGATCCATCTTTTGGCCACCAGAGAAGCATAACTAATGACAACATTAAAGTGGCTTTGTGAGCGTGGCCATCAAAATGTCGATCAGCCAAGCAAGAAATAATTTTTAAATCAGCATGAATAAACATGTTTGGGATCTGGTGAACTAAACTGCGAGGGGCTCAATTACAAAGATTTCAAAGGTGTTTGTGAACTTGTGGGAGATGCTGATGAACAGTCTACCTCTTCAGGGTTCATATGTGTGTCATGGATGTGAGGCTTTAATGAAAAAAGACTGTTATGTGGAGATTCAGGCCAAGCACTGTTGTGTTTTCAGCCTCTGAGTGGAATGAGTGACGATGCCGCACAAGGCGTCTTCAGGGTGCTGTCTAATTGAAGCGACATTTGAAGCTTTTCTAGGACTCATAACTGTCAGACCCATTAGCATCTTCCTAATTACTGTACGCCTAACCCCAGACTGGACAGGAAACACACGGTCAGCTAGCTCTGGACCTCCTACTCACATAATTTATCTGTTCATTAAGACATTTTTTGTCATTTGCTCTGAATGAATAGAACATTATAGTCAGTGTGACTCAACCACTCACTGTGGCGAAGATTGTGTTGGCCCAGTTTTGTTTGAGGGAAAATTAAAAAATGTGTTCTCATGCCATCAACATTTGATAAATTAAAATTATAAGAATGACACTATTTGCAATCGTGATGAAATACTTTGATTAATTGATTAGTTGGTCAACAGAATAATAATTGCCAACAATTCTGTTAACTGATTTAGAATTTAAGTAATTTCTCTAGAAAAAAATGTTAATTGGTTCCAGCTTCTCAAATCTTCATATTTGCTTTTCTTAGTTTAAGTCATTGTTAATTGAATATATATTTTGGATTTTGACTGTTGATTCAACAAAACACTCAGTTTAAAGACGTCACCGTGGGCTCTGGTAATTTTTTTTTTTAAATCATTTGAGCTTTACTAACTTGGTAACTGCAGAAGTACCCCCTGTTTGGGAATCACTGTAGTATGGTCTGTGGCATAGCTGGAGTTGTGGGTGTTGTTCAGTAACACATATTAGTAGTAAAGAATCTTTAAGCCTTTAAGTTTGCACTCTAGCACTTCCTAATCAGTTAATCCCTCCAGAAATTAGATGATTCACTTCATGGTCTTTACAAGTCATGGTTCTGTCACTCCTTTAAAAGCAAGTGCATTTCTCCACTTTATCACAGTCCTGCTATTGAAGAGGTGACCTTCCTTCTGTCAGACAGTCCCCCGCTCTGCCACCAGTCTTGAGTTCAGCAGCCCAATTCTGAACACCCAGAGGCCAAGTTTCTGTAGCTACGCTCAATTTGCCTGCGATATAAACACACTGATTTACGTAATAGAGAATATGTATACAATAAGCAATGATGAGGATTCGTCCTGGCAGGAGCATTTTGCCCTCTGACTAATCTGAGCTGCTAAATTGTGAGTAACTGTGTTGAACTTGTGTCCTCCAGCCAGCAGAGATCAGAGTTCAGCGTTCTGCTGTAATCACTGATCACATCTTGTTATGCTTAGTGGACACTGAAAGATGCTAGAGGCTGTCTCATCATTTGCTTTGTGGGGAGATTAAGATCTGATTTAAACCAAGGAAAGATGACTTTGAATTCAATGCACAGCGGTTAGACGCTTACATTGTGCTCCTTTCTTGTACAATGTAATGTCTATGAATGGGGGTATCTATAGAGACTGTGATCATTTGTAGTGGGATATAATCTACATGTTTGAAGCCATAATTAGATTAGTGTCATCTGAACGATTAAAAAAATCGAAACCAAAATATCACCAAAGTGTCTGACAATGATTCTCTCCTCCGTCTCATTTCTTGTGTGTTGCTTCACTGTCTAACAACTCTGACATAAAGGAAGCTCTTAGTATTGCTTGACAAATGGAGAACAAACAGCAAAATATGTGTTTAGTACATGTCTGGGCCCGTAGATTAATGACATTAACGAAGTTTCCATTAGCGCGGCGATTGGGGGAGACAGAGGCATCCATGCGTAAATCCACATGACTGAATCACTGATAAGAGAAAATGAAACACATCTCTATGGGCCAAGAGGGGCCAGGAAACGCCACTCCAAATTAGCCTGCAGCCCAATTTGTTGTTACTTCATTAACTGATCAGCATCTGTAGAGCAGAGGAAGGAAGTTGTGAACCCATCTTTTGCCCAAAAATTCCCTTCCTTGCCTTCGCTGTGCAGAGTGGCAGCATGGCACAAAGTGACAGGAGCTCCCCCAGGCAGTATTGTGCTCAAGGGTTTCATCTAGTTGAGGTGGGTTTGTTCATTCAGCTCAGGCCTGATATATGAGAACAAAATTCTCTTTTTTTTGTCCCAACCTAATGATATGTTGCGTAATCTTAATGCTGATATTTTTGCTGTGTAATCCATTGTTTCATGGCTTATTCAGTAGTTATCAGATGACCTTAAGTTTCCATATCTCTGTCCTTTTTCAGACTATTTAGAGTCATAGTCCTTGGAGTATAGAGTTTCAGATCACAGAAGATTATGCAGTGTGTTGCTGCTTCCAAAAAGCATTTTGAAATTATACTTGAAACGGCTAAACAAAATGTATATGTCCTCGCTGCTAAAAAAAATGGGGTTAA